TATGGATTCCTTGTCTCTGGGAAATACTGGGATAAATGAAATGAAAGAAAAATGAGATTACTGCATGGGTATTGATTAAAAGTCAACTCATATTTTTCTTTGCCTTAACGGTTCCAATAAAATAGATGCATAAATTCCTTTAACGTTATCAGAGACGAGGTTTAAATGGTTTTAGAAATAATGTATTTTTAAATTGGTTGGATTTTACTAGTGATATTTTATAGAAGATTCATATGTAAGCAAGTTTTTTGGACGATGGTTATACCTACTAATTCTTACTTGTAAACTGAAGAGTAATAAAGTCCTTAATAAATTTATGCCTTTTTAAATTATTTCTTATACATGTTTCAGGGGAAAAAATAACACAGACCAACAAGATGTTAACCCAACAACACGAATATACTTTCCCAAAGGATTTTGGTGCTTTAAATTCGAATCCGAGGTTCAAATTTTTCAGTTGGTTCTGGTCTTCGAGATATCCTAACCTAAAAGTGTCAAAATAGCGATTTTTCGACATAATTGAGCTTATGTTAAAGCTAATTCTTTTTGCTGAAACCATTAATGTTGTCTTAAAGTACTATACTTACTCTTTAAAAGGCACTTAGTAGTTTGACTTATTTACAAACCTTATGGGTTTATGGGCTTAGGGTTTTTGGGATAAGGGTTTATGAGTTCGGGATTGAGCATACTATTAGCCTCTTTTGCATGTAAATGAATTTCTATGTTTATACAATACGTAAAATATCGGCCATATATCGAATTTTTAGTTGTTTTTTTAAATTTATTACAAAATTTGACGGGATAGAGTATTTTGAAGTTCAGATTCATGATCAGTGACTCTAAAAACTTGTAAGATCCTTACTTCCGGGTGTCGATGAATTGGGTTTGTAGTGCTGTGTCATCAGTATATTCAAAAATCGAGAACAATCTAAATCAAATTACTACATTTCAACATGCGATTTCTCAAAGACAAAAAATAATATTGAGATAGATCCAAGTGTATTTTAAAGAGAAATTATAGTATTTTAAAGCCTCTTTAATGGTTTTAGCAAAAACAGTTACCTATCCATGTAACATAACCTTAAATATGTCAAAAAATCATGATTTTGGCACATTTAGGTTAGGATATCTCGAAAACCAGAGCCAATTGAGAAATTTAGACATCGAATTCGAATTCAGCGTACCAAAATCCTCCGGAAAAGTACAATCTGGTTTCTGGATTAGAGGGTGGGCCAAATTTTGTCGGACTGTGTAATATGTAATATTAACGACACTTTGGCAATGCATATGTTGTGATCACGGATACTATAATAGAAGTAAAAAGAGTTAAATGCAGAAAGATTTAGACCATGCTATTGCTGAATCTTAGATCGACACTAGCTCATCAGGTTTTCCAGATATTTTGAAAGATGTGTTGTTTATTCCATAATCTATTTTAACTTTCTAAACACTTTGTTGTAGCAACTTTTTACAATTAATTTTACTTTAGACTCAGATTTCTAATTCAACGTTTCGGTTCCGCAAAAACATCATAATCTTTTTCTTTAAGTGCAAATATGTACCGAAAAAAACATAAGAAAAAGGATTTCATCGAAACGTTGAAATGGAAATGTGAGCTCACAGTCAAATTCTTTGCAAAAATGTGCTACAGTAACATTGTCACAAATTTAGAAAATTTATAAAAATAAGGAAGTTACACTTTTTTTTAAATACATTTCTTTTTTCTTTCAAAATACTTCTAAAACATTGCAAAACTTCTCATTTTTTAACCGTTTAACTGCACGATATACTTTTGTTATTTAAATTCTAATTTGGAATACCTACTTACTGAAATATATTCCTTTTAGTTTGAATTGTTTTACATAAAATTTGCTATACAAGAGGCATCGTCACCAACAAAAACCATATTAATAAATAATTTGTAGTAAATTAAATATATTTTTTATATACATTTACGAAATTAAATAAAATGTTGTCAATGTTCTGTATCTTAGAAATTATTATTTTTAAGACATAACTAATTTTCTAATTATTTATGGTTTTCTATTAAAAATAAAGAATTAAATTTAGGAAAAAACACAATGAAATTATTTGCTTTGTAATTAGCATTAGACACCAATATGTGTTTTCTATTTTAAGCTGAAAATGTATGTACATACAAGTAACTATAATGCACACCATTGGTTTTCGATTTCAGGATTTTGTCTAAATTAGTTTTTTTATTCAAATTGAACACACTAAAATCCAGTTTTTGACATACAATGTTATAGCAGGAACCATCTATTTTCTAAAACACTAAAGTTGTCGAAAAAACCTACCACATTCTCTATGACAAATAAAATAAGAACCAATATCTAACGCTGTGCTGTTTATTATTATAAACGGAATGTGTATTAATAAAACACTAAAATAATAAAACATTAACCATTAAATTTTTAAATAAACGGATATTACTAAATTTCCTCTGAATGCTTTTATTAGATAAGGAAAAATATTGCATGCACACGTAGCCATGATACTGTCGTTGAAACTGTGCTGAGATAAAATAAATGCCCTGTACCTTAAGAATAGTTCCTTATTAAAAATGCATGGTGTAATTATAACATGGAAAGCGATACTACATTTCTTTACAAACCTAAACGTAAAAAACTTTACAACTGAAATTTTTTCAGGCTGGTGGAACATTAGGTATGTGTATAATGATAATTATAAATCAATATTTTACTCCTCTGGCCCATATATTAAAAAGTAATTTAGCTATATCGAATTCTAAATGGAATTTTATTACATTTTCCCTGGTAAAAAAAGTAAATAAGCGCTAAATTACTAACGAAAATCGACTTACCTGAGTACATTCATGATCACCTATTCTTAAATATTTTCTTCAGGAATTTTCTGTGCCTTATTATGAGCCAAATAGATTGCATTTTCGTGTATAGTGGTGAATTTCAGTATATTTTCCAGCAGACCGTAGTAGTAGTGCCAGTGTTACGGCTTAATCGATATTTTCAGTCTAGTACTCTGTTTTCATAAACTCGATACCACGTAATCGAAAAATGGCACTAATTTCATTAGTATCACTAAAACGGAACGATCAGATTGCCTGAAAATTATTGTCGCACGACCGTAGCAACAAATAAACAGTTTATTGAATGAAAACCCGAGAGGAAAATGTCGACGAACTGGTGTGAACGGTGGAAGTGGTACAAAAAGAACGATACAATCGAGTTACACGATCTTGGACGGGTTAAACGAAGCACACTAACACTTATGACGTTGTAATCAACCCCTAATTAGTTAATAATTAAGTAAAATGCGTTTAAAACGACTTGATTTAAATTTAGAGCAGCCCCGATGGCTATACTACTCGGCCCCCTCCCTAGTCGAGCTCTCGCGAAAGCTCACGAGAGGAAAAGCTTATCGTGATGCGCGATTTCACATTATACGGCCTGAAAAAATTATACATCCCTCACAGCTAGATTACTCCTAAGCTTTCACGCCCGCGGCTCCCAAGTTTTTCATTAAGAATACCGTTATCCTCCTCCGTAATTTCACGAAATTTCACCTTTTTCCATTCCTGTTATTACATTAATTACAGTAAAGAATAAATTGTCCGTTTGGCAAGAATTTTAATATCTACGATGCGCAACTCAAAAACGAATAGAATATATTTTATGCCTAAACACGTTATTATCGAAAACATATTACATTTTTTTATTATTCTTTATTGTAATGTCATAACAGATAATGGCACCATTAAAATGTGATCGGGCTTAGGTATAAGTTATACTCTGTATACCACAAAATATACAGATTTTTCCAAGTTGTCAGTTAAAAAAAAATCATTTTTTTATATCTAACTCAGATGAAAACAAACATTTAATAGTAATAATAACATAGATATCAAGATTTAAATAGAAGAGAATAATTCAACAATTCTGGTTTAAAAGGTTTCATTTTTTCCCACTCGAATACAATAAGAAAAACTAGGATAGAGATAATAATTTGAGCAGCCGGAGTGAATTTCCATAAATCTAGTAGCCAAATTCTTGTCGAAAATCTAGTGGTATAGAAGTTCTAAACAAAAAAGCCTCTTTACACCCCGGTTTCTACACCATTGAGCATTGAGCTCGTGTCGAACAAAAAATGGCGCTATTAATGGAAGAAAAATAAAAACGTTTATAGTTTTTCAATAAATGCGGAAATACCTTTTTTTAAAACTGTAATTTTTCGAGTAGTGAATGGTAAATAAATTTAACTAAAGCCAACATATGCCATATTAAAGTCGAAAGTTTGCTTGCTATTTGAAAAGCTCTCTACTAACTGACACAAGGGTGCTTATACTGCTTAGAAGGGGTATTATAATTTTTATTTTTTTTTATACCCATATCTACATAGTACCAAACTTGTCTCTGGTATCTACACAGAAAATTGTGTAAAAAATCCTGTATCAGTTCAATTGTTTAACAATAAAAATTTAAAGAAGAGTTTTTTGTAGAACTTTTATAATTAAAAATTACATCTACCTACCACATACTTATGTATATATAAGAAGATATTTTACCCAAACACCTACATAGGTACCTAATATATAGATACTTTAAGACATAGGTTAATTAATTAAAAATGAAAAAATAAGTAGGTACTTAAATTATTAGGTATAAATTATTGAATACACTATTACAACCTTATATGAGCATAGTAAAATACCCAAATAAGACATTTATTTTTTGTATCAAAATCTTTAAATTGTAATATGTATTATTTTTGGTTTCTGCTGTTCCTTCTAAATTTTTTAAGTGTACGCCTATGCCCTAAAAATTAAATACCTTCCTAATAATATTCCTATAATTAATTAAGATTTTAAGAAAATATTTTATATGAACATAAAATTGTTTTAATCAAAATATTTAAATTTATTGTAATATTTTTTAAATCTTAGAATCGAAATCTCAGCCATTTAAATCGAACCAAAACTTCAAAATACAGAAGTAAACAACATGGCGTCTGTGGTATCAGAAGATGAAAATTCTGATGACAATTTTTCAGATTTTTCCCAATATTCCTTAGCGTGGGAAGAAAATATGTGTGAAAGAAGTGAGAATGATTTTGTGAAATTAATCGGAAATACAAAACCTAGTAATGTAACCACTAATATTTTTAATAGACAGGTATGTTTATTAACCTAACCTAAAATTATATGTCAACATTTAGAGTTTTTTCTTTAATTTTGTAGTTATATGGACGTTTTGCCAAAACTCCTAGAGCAAAGACTGAAAGAATATTTGATAATATCCACACAAAATGCAGATTTGCCTTAAATTCACTTATTAAGGACCCAGATGCATAGTAAGTTAAGAAATATGTGTTCAATTAATCATTCATATAACATTTTTCTATTATAGTAGTCATATATTTATGGGCTTTACAATGTGTGGACAATATTTTTTAAGTTATACTGAAAAAATGTATGAGGATTTGGGACCTTTAAATTTTAACACTACCTACGAATATGAATTATATTTATGGAAGTTTATTCCCGGACAGAAACTTATTTGTTTTTCTAAACACAAAATTTTTAAGCACCTTAAAGGCTCTGAAGTATTAGACAAAATAATGTTTATGCAATTCCCAAAAGACATGTATAAGATTGTATGTTATGGATTAGCGTAAGTATCTTTAAATATTATGTTTTCTTAATTTTGTTGATAACATATAACAAGAATAAATACAAATATTTTGCTAACATGCTTGGATTGCTCTTCCTTTCAATTTCTTACAGAATCAAATAACTTAAATGTTAATTAATCTATCATATATTGTTAATTATTTAATGAATCTTGATATAAGTAAGTTTAATATATTTCAGGGCCACAAATCCAGATTTAGTTTATATTTCTATTTTAACTATACCATCACCAAAAAGCTGTAAACATTGCAATGGAAATTTTTTGCCTTGTGATGGTAAGTATTTCTTAAGCACCTTTAAATTGTAATTTAAGCTTGTTTTTTAAAAATTCTTTATCCACTTTGTGAATCTTAAATTTATCAGATACTAATTTACCTTTGATTATTAATGGACATTTTTATGTTAATATTTAAATATCCTTATTGACCATCCATATATTTTTTATGGTTTCAGAATCTGTGAATCAGGGATGGTGTGTAAAACATGGATTTATAATTCACTACATGTTGTCAATGTCCCAACCAACTCCTACATTTGACCCTAACATTTCCCTGGCATACCCAAACCACTTAGTAATTAACACGGGCCATCACATACACATTTTGAATGTATCAACCTCTGAACCGCCTCAAGTGTATGTATCTTTACAAAATTTGAAAGACGAAGACTTAAAATTAACGTCACAGACACCTACACACACTTTTAATGATACATTGAGCGAGGTCTCTGAATCGCCTAGCGAACATTTCGGTTCAAGTAGCATAGTTGATGCCATATTAGAAGACTTTAGTGAGTATGATTTAGAATCTAGTGAATGTAATAAGCCATTTCACGAGTTAAATATAAGTTGTGAACCCCTTAATGTTACTGGTAAAAGTTATCACAATACTCTAGTTCAAAACATTGTAGATCCGCGATTAAAACGGTTACAGACTACTAGTAAAGATTATTTATTTTCTGTACCTCAAGGTTCGGGTGGACAAAAACCTGTTGAAAAGACTAAAATCGATAAGAAAATAGCCGAAAAAGCATACGAGTTCATTGAAGAAAATGAAAAGTATGAAAAAATTAGTTCGTTTAGAAAAAAGAGACTAGCTGAAAAGAAGTATGAATTTTCAGAGGATAACAGCGAAAACATTGTACCTTTCAATTCACTACGCCGCGAACGTAGGTATTTGTACAGGTCGCAGAATCGTTGCATTCGCTCGCCTGATTTTAACTCATTATTTTTAAGCCCTAGATCATCGGGTTTACGTTCCCCCATGCAATCTCCTAACTCCCGTAATGGTCAATTCTCCCCGAGTGGTGCTCGAAACCTATATTGCCCTTCAGTCCGGAACTCACCCCATCATTCCAAGTCCCCCATCAGTCCTAAAGATTCGGCTAGAAAATTTTACGTGTACTCCCCAAGCTTGGACAGCGATTGTTCAGATTCTGATTCTAGACTGATATTAAGGACGTCCAACATTTCTACCTCAATTGATAATCGATTTAATTCTAACGGGTTACTTATAGTGGACCCCAAAATGGATACGCCTAAATGGATCAAGAAAGTCGTTCGCAGGTATTCCAATGGAGACTTTGAGAACAGTTCTTTGGTTTCTGGACAGAGCAGAGGTATGCCTTCAAATCACTTATTAACATTTTGACAGTAGTTGTAGACATTATAGAGGCAGGCATTACAAACTGGGTAGATTTTACATATCGATATCTATAAACAGTTTTATTAAAATCATTCTTTATCTTTTATTTAAATTTTCAACTGGCTTGTTTTTTTTGTTTTTCAGTATCGATATGAAAATATTTCAGAAAACTGACAAATTTTCGTGGAAATTTTCTAAAAAATAAATTGATATTAACCTCCCTTCCTCCCTTATTATTTTAAAATAAAAAATTTAAATATGTTCGCTTTTTTCAACTAACAGATTTTCCTATTAACTTTATCAAAACTGTTTTTCATTATTTTACCTTTTACACATATCAAACTTAACAAAAAAAATCATAAATTCGGTTTACTGCAGAATTTTATCTTATAACACCAATTTAGAAAGTCAATAAATACTTTGAATATTATATTATTTAATAAATTTATCGGTAATCTCTCAGTAGATCTTGTGAAATGAGGTCGCAGGTTTCGCATATACAATTTTTTTTGAGGATTTCTAAAACGTATGTGTCAAACAATTTAATGAATCTGTTATTGGCGTCATTTCTCCAAAATCGTTCTAATTATAATTTATAAACATTCAGAAAAAGTAGTAACAATCGGTTCATTCATGTTTCATTGTGCAATGTTTAAAAAATGTATTTACTATAAATACAACTTTAAGATAATACTTATCAGTGATAAACAGCCGTTGAAAGTACTACTTTAGTGCAGATGGGCAGACTGAAGTAAATAATGTACCATCTGCCTTTAACAGTTATCAGACATTGAATTGAGTTGAATTTTTTGGTAGAATTACTTCATACATTAATGTCAATAAAAGGCATGATTAAAACTTTTTTCTGGAAATTTCAAGATTTGGAACATTCATTATATTAACATTGACATTTCTGTCATATCTTATTATGTTGCAAAGTTGGTAGTGCCAACAACGGCCGATAGTAGTAGGTGGTCGCTTAGGTGTAAATGTACACATTAATTTGAAAATACGAAAAAAAATCTATTGATAGAGTTGCATGAGTTTCAGTAATATCAAGTTCCAAAAATCTGATTCACTTCTGTATGCCACAAACCATTAGAATAGTTGATTTTTAAATGTATTGCATTACTGAAGAAAATACTTATAAACAAATAAACTATTTTTAAAAAACTATTTAGAAATTAGTGTCTTTACAATTTGGAAATTATTATTATTATTATAAAGAAAGATTAATAACATGCCAAAAAGCTAAGATTGAATATCATATCTTACACATCAAAATCTATTTCCGATGTTGTGTTTGTAGCATCTTTTGAGTTTCAATGATTTATTAATTAAAATGATGAATTTCCCAGCTATGCAAAAAACAAAACCAAATTAAAGTGAATTCTAAATGAAGATAGTTCGCTATTTTTTATTAAAAATCTATTTTATTTTAAGATGACTACAATATTCCGATAGAAATACCACTACTAGTGCAAAGTTTGACGGAACAGCACTTGGATGTCATCCCAGAATCCAGAGTGGACCAAGTAACTGAAATGCAACTAATAGTAACACAGAGATCGTTTGACTGTGAACAGTTTGTCCAGAGAAGAGCCCAAAAATTGTGTTCAGAAGCTCATCTTGAATTCTTGCACTGTGACGATTACGATATTAAAATCATTCACGTAAGTTTAAACAATACAGGGAACCCTACAAGAAATTTTCAGTTAGCTGATGTATTTTTTAATTGACAATCTTTATCTACAGTGTGTCTGCAGATTACTGCTTGGAAACGAGAAACTTTCTTATTTTTTGTTTATTTTCTCTTTTGAGAAGTCATTCTTTGTTCAAAAGATAACATGTGAAGTAGTTGGAGTGAAGTGGCTTTTTTTAATTTTATAACAAACGTTCTTATTATCCTATTCACATAACGTAACCATTTTTTTTTTCAAATTCCGTAATATTTTTTAATCGTATCTAATGAAACATTAACAATATTGTCTCTTACCTTATTTTTTTTAATAACTCAACAGTATTTCCGAAATCGTCACCTTGTTAAACTTTTTATTTCAATTGTTCCAAAAATAAAAATCAATAGCTGAATACACATGCAAAGACATATTGGAGTGATAAATTGTACCAAATAATCGTCAGATAAATCGTTAAGAAAAATCTTTCAGACAAATCTTAGAAAGTACACTAATACAAAGTTTTATTGAATCGAATAAAGTTTATTTGACAGTTTATTCGTTACGTCTGAGTCATTCACAAAGATTTATCTCTAAATTTGGTAAGATTATTCTGTCATCGTTGATCTTTCGGAAGTCCAAAAAATTAGAGCAATTTATTTGTTACTCGTAAGTGTAGTAATCAAGACAGAAATTAACCGATTTTACATATGGCGCAGATATTTCCTCCAACATGTACTAACACGCAGATGACGCTCTACAAAATATCGACTAATAATTCACAACAGATTTATCTGCCGTTTAATTGCTGTGTTAGTGTACATGACAAAATAATCGCTCCAAATTATTTGGCAGCAATTTATCCGCCAAAATGTTGGTATTTTATAATTTTTCTTGATGACCCAAATTAGCAGTTTTGTCTTTACAATTTATGCAATTCAACGATAAATCGGCCAAATCGGTCGATAAAACTGCTCGTGTATATTCAGCTAATAATGATCAAATTGGAATTTTGATATCATTTAAAGTGTCAATCTTAGAATCATTGTTGAGACTTGGGTTGGATACCTATGACCGGAAAACTGTATCAGCTGTATCATAGATAGAAAGTAGGTTTTCTAAGGTTGCCTCATTTGTACACTGGATGATCGTTGGGGCTTACCATTTTGGGCGCAAATACTGCTTAAAGAATAATTACTGCTCCTTCTCTGACTTGTAAGAGCACTAAAAAAGGTTTTTCCATAACCATGAAACAAAACGTGATCTTTTTCATAATTTGATTTTTCAACTTTTAAACTTCAACGTACTTATGCTACCTGTCTTGCAACAACTTTATTCCATAAAAAAAAAAGATTCCTGTTGGACCTCAACTTTCAACTGATTTTCATCTATAAAATGACGTCTCCTGAGGTGCTTTTCGGATTACTGAATAAAATGAAAGTCGTGCAGAATCAAATCTGGACTACATGGAGGATGGTCCAGCAGAGAAATGCACATTATCGTGAACAAAGAAAGCGTTTTTATGACGGAAACCCACACGTTTTTGATCAATTGCCTTACATAATTTTGTTAATGTAGGCTCTAATTTTGTTTCTCAATCCCAGTGATATATTCAAGTTTCATCATCTGTCACTATTTTATTTCCTGCCTAAGCAGTTTTTGTCCACAAGTCCAAAACGTGTGTCACTATTGAATTTCCATCATGGCTGGATAGGTATTTTTCCTAGTACCCCTCGTATAATGAGGAGTAGAGGATATTATTTAAAAACGAAATTACTAATATTAAATTCAAATTTGGAATTTCACAAATAACTTTTTAATATGAAATTTTTGTAAAATTAAAAATGCCACTTTGCTCTTTTTTGCTCTCTCTGATCAAAATTTAAACTAAAGTTTCCCATCTCTGGGTAGTGATCTGTGGAGAGACTGTATTTGCTTCATCTAATTTTTAGATTTGTCCTGTAAACGGGCATATAATTTGCCAGGCTGTAATAAAAATAGGTGCTCTGAAGAAGATGGAACCTTACGGGAAACCAGAAAACTTCACGGCTAGTTTTCTATTCACGTGGAGTATTGAAACAGACGCTTTTGACGTAATCGAGCTTAAAGAACCAACAAAACTATTGCCTTCTAACGAACCTCAAGAAAAGCTGCTATATGAAATTCCTAAAAACAATTTTAGTAACGTCCTCATAATGGACTATTATTACACCACATCGAAATCAAGTCTCAGGGATTATAACAATTATTACGAAGTTTGTTTAGGATCTGCAAATATACCTACTAGGTCACATATGACCGTAGAATACTCGAGTGATAGTGACTGAATATTTCGACATGTTTTATTTATTTCTCGATTTTTTAGTTAAGTCGAAAATAGGTTTTGTTTAATTTTTTTATATTAAAGTGAATTATTATTATAATGAAACACCTAAACTCAGTTGTATGAATTTGTATATTTGATTACATACAGTAATAAGTTGACTGTGATTTTAACGTTGTGAAGTTTAAAAATAAATATTATTTATAAAATTTATTTGCAGTTTTTATTGGCATTTAATAAAATACGGGTGTTACAAATAAGTATCAAACCACCAAACACAGAATTTTGTGGGAAAATAATGGAACTTTCCAAAAATTCACCGTACTTTCTAATCAAGAGCCGAGGACAATGTTCCGAAGGGCCCTAACGTGGCGCCAGGGAGGAAATTTTTTACCTCGTCTTCCAAAATCTTGTTATTACGTTTAAAACAACTGCCACAAATCTGTTCAACTATGATGGTCAATGTTGAAGGACGATGCCTTCAGCAGAGATTCCTAGGATGACGCAACACGAGAATGAGAAATCTTCACGTTGCTTTCCAAAGTTCACAGTTGTCCACATCCCCAACGTGAAGTAAGGGCGACAAAGCTGTTCCAGGTTCGAATTTCGGAGGTCAAAAATTCCCCGAATTCTATGAAATTCCAACCTGATTGAAGAAATGTTCAGGAAGACAAAGCCGAGCAGTGGAAATAGTGCCCCAGTAAACTGAACCATGCAAGAGAGCCACCAGTGGAGATACTCCTGCCTGTGGCTGAACGTCGACCCAATCCATCAACAAATATATAGCCAGTGTACGGATACCTGGCCAGAGTTTGTACTCGTTCCATATTTATGCTTTGTGTCCTATGTATTATTGCCTACATTTATTATTAACAAACGGTAGTAAATAAAATATATTCCCTCATAAAAATCACCAAATGAGCTCATAACCCACATAGCTCCTCAAGCTCCTCATATTCTAACTGCGCTAAAGCTTTCTGAAAGTTAAGTTACACGAATTAGATTCAAGAGATGTCAAAGGTACTTGGCTGTCCCAAAAAATTTTATCGACTCATATAATGTTGCAGTTGTTCCAGCCTCTATACAGGCTGTTACAAATTCGCTTCTCACTACAGGGATCTCGGAAACGGTAAGAGATGCAAAGTAGCTTAAATGGGGACAAAGTTGCATAATGATGTGACCAACTTAATGCCTCTAAAAATCAAGGCTAACATGATTAGTTTTCGAAATATTTGAAGAAAAACGAAATTTTGGAAATCCGTTTTTGTTTCATTTCAGCTTTGTTTGAAGTGATATTGAAAAAGAAGAACACCTCATGGCAACTTTTTGCCCTCTATCGAATGGCATAATCAATTTTTATATGTAACGGTTCATCTCTACGGGACCATCATCAACTTCATTTATTTAAATACAACCCTGGAAATTTTATTACATTTTTTGCAAGCTTTCGTAACCCCCAATACTTTACTGCCTCAGCCTGAACTAAATTCGGACGTTCTGTCTCGAAAAACTCATCTTCAATGTATTTGTTCCAAATTTAACTAAGTTTTTTTTAGATATCTATGTTTATTGAATTATCGTACACTCTGTGCCGTTAGACCCTCTGAAATCCACCTAGTTATTTAAACCATTACCATCACACGTTACAATAAAACATTAGAGTTTTAATCCTGTGCTCATAGTTATTTCTAGGATTCTCGTGCTCAAAATTCAAACAAATTTCGATCTAATTTTTTTCAGGATATTCATACAAATACGTCTGACGTGCTCTTTCACGGTTATGGTTATAGGTATAATAATAAATTCTGATCGTATTAAGCGTATCTTCATTTTCAACATTTGCCAAAACGTAAACGTTTTTGAACATAAGTATAATATTCATTTTGGTAGTTGTTCATATGCGTTTTTTAGAATTAATTTGTCATAATGAAATTAAAATTGTAATAATGTTGTAATTTTGACGCAACAACTTATCGAATTATGTATGACCATCAAGTGGTGGAGATTAAATCTCTAATAATGTTTTATTGTAACGTGTTGTAGTAATAGTTTAAAAACTAGGTGGATTTCACAGGGTCTAATGACACTTAAAGTGTACGATAATTCAATAAACATGGAAATCTAAATAAAAAAATTGAGATATTTGGAACGAATACATTGAAGATGGATTTTTTGAGACAAAACATATGAATTTGATTCGGGCTGAGGCAGTACAGTATTGGGGGTCAAGAAGACTTGCAAAAAATGTAACAAAATTTCCAGTCGTATTTAAAGAAATGAAATTGATGATGGTCCTGGAGATTCGAAACGTTACATTTAAACATTGATTTTGCCGTTCGATAGAGGGTAAAAAGTTGCCATGAGAAAGGGTTCTTCTTTTTTCAATATCACCTCAAACAAGGCTTAAATGAAACAAAAACAGATTTCCAAAATTTCGGTTTTTTTCAAATATTTCGAAAACTAATCATGTTAGCCTTGACTTTTTACAGGCATTATGTTGGTCCCCTAATTATGCAACTTTCCCCCATTTAAGCTACTTTATATCTCTTACCGTTTCCGAGATCCCTGTAGTGAGAAGTGAATTTGTAACAGCCTGTATAGAGGCTGGAACAACTGCAACATTATATGAGCCGATATAATTTTTTGGGACAGCCAAGTACCTTTGACATCTCTTGAATCTAATTCGTGTAACTTAACTTTCAGAAAGCTTTGGCGCAGTTAGAACATGAGGAGGCTGTATACACAACTCCATATCATAAATTTCTGCCTGATAGATGGTTGCATTAGATATGAAAACTTACTGACAACCTTGTTTTTGGGTTACAACTACAATATACACTCGAGCTCTAATACCCTCTTGAGTTTTAGAGCCATTTGTGTACATACCAATGGCTATCTGTCCTCGAAAGGTCATTTCTATTCCTATTCGATTCCTCCCTGTCCCCTGTCCCCCTCCAAGGAGGTGAACGTTAAGCAGCTATTGTAATCAATTCATGTATGCATCCAAGGTTATCAATGTGGAATTCCATGTGCTCCACGGTGTCAGCGTTACCACCATGCCCCCCCCCCCCTCAACTAGCTTATTTCTCTGTAATTTTGCTATCAAAATTCGAATTATTATTGGACGAAGAAAGAATTGTCTCTGTCTCACTTTTGTGCAAATCTATGTCCTATTATTTTCAACTAAAGAACACAGAGTTAATAACTTGACTTGTTTATATGTAGGTGTTTTTGGTTGCTCAAATTACAGAAAAATTTAATCTTGTCCTTGATAAAAAATATTTTTACAAAAATTTTACTAACAGGATCCATGTACCACGTATCACTTGCGAAATCTACTGTTTCAAATTGTTTAAAAAATATGCAATACCATAACAACTCGAATAAATATTAACTGTCTGCCAAACATTCAAAAATTTTCAGTGAACAAAAACTACTGTAAAACACTTCTTAAAAATGGCTGATTGCTGCTGCCCTATCCCATGTGTTTCCTGTGTACCTTGCTACCCCCCAGAACCACAGCCATGTGCATTCCTTGCTCAACCATCCAGTCCTACAACCCTGATTTATGTGCCTATGATCGCACAAGCACCTTGTCCCTGCCCATGCCCATGTCCTTGTATGTGCTCTCCATGTTGTGAACAACAATCAAAACCTAAATGATGAGGAATTTATATTTAAATATTTCGAGACTGTGGATACCATTTCAATGCAATTGATACTAGTAATGTTACGTAAAAATATAGTGTAATGTATTTTGAAGTGTTTAGAACTGTAAGAGAATAATGCCAATAAGTAGATTAGAAATAAGTGTTTTACTGTAATAAATATTATTTCACCTTTCCCAGTCATTTTTATACATTTACGTTTATAAAATTATGATTGTAGAATCATCCAATCAAGAGACCTGGAGTTGTAATCTGTAACTTAAAATTAAAATTCTCTGGTCAAAATGAGAGAAACACTGTCTGTGAAGACGTTTGACGTAGACTGACTAGACTTGTGCTAATGCTGTATTTATTTACAGGTAAAAATCTGCGAATTAAAATTTTAAGTTTGGCTAGTTATTCTGATTGGGTATTTCTACACTGAAAAGAAATTTTTTTAATATCCCTTTACACCAAAAAGGATCAGTCAAAGGGTTCATTTACAAATTTAGTTTTGCATACCCAGAAATAAGTATCTCGTACTGAGACAGTTGATAGTAATTCACTACACAATAATAATGTGCATAAAATAACTTAAAGCTTCTACAAAGGACCCCGCAACTATCCTTATGGAAAACCGGTCCCGGTGGAATGGTACGAAACATTGCCGAATGATAGTCCTCAATGTGTCGATCAAAAAATCCATGGGACCTAGGTCTGAAAAACTACTGTTCTGAAGCTACAGCCTTCTGAAGTTATCGAATCCACGTGCTCGGTGACCATCAAGTCTAATGATTTATGGGCGAGTAAAAGCAAATATTTCTTTATAAAGTGACCAAGCTGGCTGTTTCTTGATGTATTTTCGTGTGCTGAATGCGAATCCGTGGTCAAAATAGCTATATCTTCCTTCAGTCTTCAGAAAAAATCGGTGAAGCACCTACTGAAGATCAGCGATAGCGACACATACTGCTTGAGCGACATCCTATGCTTTTACGCATGCTGAACACTTATCCATCCTCAACATATCTGCAGAATGTGCAAATATGCTGATGATGATGAGGAATGCCTCAGTCTTCAGAAAATAGCTGAAGCAGCTTCAGAAAACTTAACTGATAGTCATCGAGCACGTGGATTCGATAACTTCAGAAGGCTGTACCTTCAAAACAGTAGTTTTTCGGACCTAGATCCCATGGACTTTTTTGATCGACACATTGACGACTATCATTCAGTAAAGTTTCGTACCATTCGACCGGGACTGGTTTTCCATAAGGATAGTTGCGGGGTCCTTTGTATGTTATCTGTCTGTTTTATATGTACACATATTTTTGAGAATTCAGAAATTGCACAAACTATTCAAATTATTGAATTTATTTTTAAAGCAAGTAAGCAACTGCAAATATGATATTATACCAATACATTTTTTATACTAATCATTAAAAAACAATAGAGTAGTTTATAAGGCCTATGGCAAAACAGTATCACATTTATTTTGCAAATGTTACACAGAGTTAAGAATACATCAGTAACACATCTATACAAATATTTTCTTCAGTTCTGAAAATAAATAAATTATGGAGATAATTACCTGGTTATATTAAATTTTTTATATCTTACCACTAATCGAGGGGGACAGGGACAGGGATTACAAGGAGGGGCACAAGGCACCAGGGGTATTTCCAGTTTGCATGGTGGTGCCGGAAAAGAATATGGTATATAATAACATGGATATGCAAGAGCATTTGCAAAACTTGGGGTGGTTGGTATACAAGGAGAAGGGATAGGACAGGGGCAGCACTCCTCCATGACTGAAATTTTATATATTATATTTGTACATTAACACTTGTCAAATTGTTTTGATTTATAGTAACTTGATTCATTTTATTTGCAGAAACTCCATAGAAGTCTAAACCTACTAGCCCAATTTAACAATTAGAATGCTTTCAATATTTGGATTGCTAGATTCTATATCCTATAATTATTGTTACTTAATCGTAGCATTTTTTCTAATAATTAGATGAAACTTTGTATCAGATAAATGTCACAAAAACAATCCTTGGTTGACCTTTTGACAGAAAAATTTATTTAACCATTAATTCTTTGGTTTAACAAACGCAGTGTTAAAGTTAAAATTGAAAAAAGATATTTATGGCATACGTTAGAAAAACATGGCAGTCAATAGATACTACGAGTCCTTGTACTTGATTTAAGCTTAAATTTTTAAAATCATAGTTACATAACTAATGTGGACCCATAGGACGAAATAATTGTCTGAAAAAAACAACGGAGCTATTAATCGTTTTTAAATTATTTTGACAAATAGGCGCGAGAATGAAAAATTGTAAAATGGTTTGATCTACATTTTATAACACCCTCATATTTTTCATTATTATAAAAATATAAACATTTATTTAAAATAACTGGCCTTAATTGACATTTTTTCTTTCCTTTCTAAATCGATAACTAACAGTGGCGAAGAGGTAAAAATTGAAAAGATTCAAAAATGGGACAACATCATCAATTTTCTGCAAAGAACAGAAACAAAAAATTGCACAAAGCTAAGCTTGAACAATCGCTATTGAAATCAAACAAGAAAGAATTCAAAAAGTAGTGCTGTTAAATAGCCTCGACGAAGACGCTTATAAATTAGCAGCAGATTTGTGTGTTTCCGAAATTCCCGAAAAGAAATCTTACGCAGAACTTATTCAAAGTTTCGACAGATATTTCATCAAGCCAACATTGATATATTTCGAACGTTACAAATTTTATCAAATTTCAAAGAATGTGCATGAAACAGTAGCGCAATGGGCAGCTAGAGTAAAAAACCTGGCAGCAAAATGCAAATTTGAACAGGCGTGGGATCAAATCCTCACGGACAAATTTATTTCTGGTTTTGACAAAGATGAAATCACTGAAATCCTGGATAAATTTACCACTGTTAGGTATCGATTTAGAAAATAATGTGTCACTTTTATTTTCCATCTGGCTACAGTAAATCTAATATCTACAATACATGACTTTTTATAATTTGGTAAAAAATGTGTACAACTTACTAGCGAAAGACACGCACACACCTTACACACCATATAAAGTTTACCTAACACACACTAATGGTAATGTTATGAAAAAAAAAGTGAAACTGATTATACTAATACTTTATTATTGCTTTTAACTTACATTAAAATACATTACATCAACCACGAAGAGGACTTAACTACGACCATTTCCATTTTTCTTTAAAAGAAAAAAATATGTTTAGTATTATACATACTTATGATATTTACTCTATACAAACCGTTTGATCACACGGATCGCAGCAACAGGGACCACAACACGAAGATAAAAAGAATGGGATTGTGTTAATGGGTTGGTACATTATCCGACATGGTTGGTCAGGGTGAACATATGGTACATAGTCTATTGGATAACATATTGGCTGTTGATTCGACATTGTGTATATTAAACTTAGAATTTTGAAATATAAACCAAATTTAAAAACTGTTTGACATCAGTAGTTCATTTCTTTTTATATTAAGGTATACTGATTTTATAGTCAAATACAATAAGTATTGTATCATAGTAACAAAATAAATAATCAGTATTTTAAAACTTTTTGAAATCAATCAAAATTTTTAGTTTCATGTTTTAATACATTTAAGACATTAAAAAATGAGCTCTAATTGTTCCTGTACACCAACCTGTCCACCATGTGCTCCTACAAGCTGTTGTGTTCCAGTAACCGTGTGCCCCATGCCTTCACCTCCGAAGTGTCCACTTGACCCTCTGCCGGTTCCATGCATTCCCCAAGCTTGTGTTTATGTTCCTGTGGTTACACCTTCTTGTACTCCTTGTGTGCCAAGTTGTGTGCCTTGTTGTCCGCCATCTTGTGCGCCCTGTTGTCCACCTTGTGGACCTTGCTGACCATCTTGTGGGCCTTCATATTAATAGATGATGTATGATTCATGTCAGGGAAAAATGTTACCATGTAATGAGAAGTGTATTGTTTGTGTAATTGGAGATAAAATATGTAACGACAGTGTAATAATGTAACTCTGACTAAACAAAATATAATATGTAACCATTTTGTTTCCTAATATGAGCAGTTTCCAAACCGTACCGTTCTATCGAACGTACCTATATCAAATGGTAAATATTTAAATAAAAATTAACTCAACCAAATTTGAAAAACATTGCAATATATACGTTTGTTTTCTAAACGAGCAATAATATTTTAAAGCTAGATATTTCACATATAGAATATGTAACGCAACATATCAAGAATGAAGAAGCATTTTTCTCGTCCAAATTTATGAATATTTTCTTATAAAAACATTTATACTTCAGTGTTAAAATTTAAAAAATGTTTTCTGGATATTTATTAATTTAAAAGAGTGGACTTGAGATACACACATATTTTGGAAATTTGTCTAGTCATCACTTACATAAATTGCTAATTTGTACCAAAACAGTAAAATTAGTAATCAAAAAACTGTTTTCGTTCCAAATAAAATTTGTATATTAAACAACAGTGGCAGTTAACACTGATTTCAAGTTTGGTTAAATCTTTTAAATTTAAATTAATATATTCCTTTGTACATAAATCATGTAAATAACATTATTAGTCCCCTTTCAACATGGCTTTAGGAAAAATAGATCCACTAATATTAATTTACTTGCAATAACGCAATACATATATTGGGAACCTTTAATAAACAATGTAATTACAGTAAGAATTACAAGCATATGCTTGAGGCCCCCATTCTCCAGGGACTTCCTCTCCTCTGCTATCATTTCCTTGTTTTATTCTCTACCTTCCGAATCCAAGCAACAAAAGGTCCACATGACCCCTGTGCTTGGGGCCTCTGAAACTCTTAATCCGACAGTGCTGACGTAATGAAAGTGTTTCTAATAAATTGTGCGTATACTATTTAAGTCTTACCTTCACAACAGACTACAATTTCTTCAGTGTCAAAGATTAAATTTTAGATCTTTTGTTATTTATTATTAACGATACATCTTAAATTACATTATTAAATATTAAATAATAGATTTGATAGGCCACATAATGTTTATTAATTATTTTTTATTTTACATTTTCAAAAATTACTATAAAAATTGTTTCGTATGTATTTGGAAATTCACATCTTGCAATCTTACTGGACAGTTCTTCATTTGTTGTACACAAGGGAAGTAAATATTAACAGCACTATAAGAAAAAATGTGAAATGTAAGTACTCAGCCTATTTCAGCAAGTCCATACCGAAACAGAAAAATATATCTACTTGTGTTATGACAAGTTTATCATTTTTTAAACCATACTTTTAAAAAAAATTAGCTATAAGAAGGGATCACTGTGTTCTTTTGAGTGTATTTTTTACATAAAATTAATGCTTTCTCACATGTGGGTATATTTTTAAAGTAAAAAACCAAGTCTACTGAATTTGGAGTTTAAACTATTACCTTACTAGATCCGTTACCATTTTTATTACCATTGCCATTTTTACTAGGAGAGGGACAACAGGGTGGGCAACAGGGCATGCAGCATGGGTAGTACACACATGGCACGCAACACGGTACACAGCAAGGGGCACAACAAGGTGCGCAACATGGTGCACAGCAAGCAGGGGGGCAGCAAGACATTTTATATTTCTATTTTTATTTTATCTTGGTATATTTACTTGAATTTTGAATATTGTGGCCAAAATGTTTGTTTATAACAAATTTTGTGTTACCAAGGTAGTGAAATTGTTCTGTTCATGGATTCCATGACTCTCTTATTAATGCACACAGTCAATGTAGTAGATGCCAAATAATGTTATTCAAGAATATTTAAAATATTGAGACTGCCACAATATAATTAAAATACTTTTTTAATAAAAGTTATGTTATTTAAATATTCTACTACATTATTACTTCTAATGTGAAGTGCATACATACTAAAAAATAATTTTAGGGCCGGTACTTTCAGCCACAATTAAGGCAGATTAGGAAATTTGTTGATTTACCCCCGCATCCCCTACCCCTGCCCCACAAGGGCAAACTCTGAAACCCTGTTATACAACATACGACCAACACATTAAAAACAAAATTGGCCATTAGTCTGATCACAGGGGATTTTTGACACCAATCTCTTATACTATTTCTGAAGATTATAAAATTCGTACCGTGGTAAAGACTTCTGAACCAAATATCACTATTGCTATTTAGGTAGCTATCTATCTATTGATGCATTATTTAAATTTTGTTTTAAAAAAACTACAATAAGTATACGAGCCACAAGTAAACTTTATTATACATTTTTCATTTAAATTTTATTAAAGCTCTTGTCTATAAATCTTCTCTTGCACTTGCCTTGACAGTCCTCATCGACCTTTTTTTATAATTTCCTTAGAGTAAACGAGTGTAGATCTTGATCAGACGAACTAACATTTCTGAAAGTAATTAAAAGTTAAACTCTGTTTTCAAAGGAATTCGAATTTACCTTAGGTTCACAACAAGGTCCTACGCAACAAGGAGAACAGCATGGTGAACACGGTAGTATACATGGTACATAGACACAGGGGGGACATGGAGCACAACAAGGCATACAACAAGGTGCACAACAAGGGAGATTTGGACAGCAAGGGGGACAGCTAGACATATTGATGTTTGTTTGTAATTTTCTGCTTAATTCTTTCACTAATAATTTTGAGGACTCTAATCAAAATGTTTAAATCAAACTGTGTTTAGTTGTAGCTATAGCAACGATTTTTTCTTCACAGATTTCTTGATAACTTCTCATTTTTTTCAAGTAATATTTGAATACTTTTCCTCCAAATAAATTTACAATTAATATTTCATCCTTTGTATCATAAAATAAACTAAAAACTTACATAACTGTCACAGACAATATAAACAAGGAAAAACGAAAAGGAAGACATTTGTAAATGACAATCATGGCTACTCTTTCAAAAAACTGAAAAATGTTTTGACACACATGAAACAAAATAATAAACAAAATTTTGTGTAGCAGTTTCATTTACCATTTTGGTCTGTAAATTTTTAGTCTGTCTTTCTGTGTTTGTGTTCGTTTAAATTGTTAAGTGTCTTAAAAAATGGCTTGTACCGACAGAGCAATATTGGGACAATTGAAGGACATAATATGTGATTTAGAGAGCAGGTACAGTACATAAATGATTAGATTGTCTTCCTATAATTCAATCAATATTTTATTAGTTATATTCTCCTATAATAATAACTATTCATCGTTACATAGGCTTGTAATAAATTTAATCACATACTTGTCAATTATGCACTTAGCAATGGACAAGCTCAGCCAATGGTATGTCCCCCACAAACTCAACCCTTTGCCGCTTGCTGCATGGTTTATCCACCACCAATACTAGCGCCAACTTCTCCAGAACCAGTTAAACCGCTCCAACTACCTTGTCCTACTCCAAATAACTATGAGGTGAGAACAATTTGTAACATTTAGCGCATAAGTATATTCGTGTTACAGAATAAAAACGTAGGTAATTAAATATACAGTGCGCCCCAATTTAGAGATTTGCAGACCAATAACACAAATAAAACATAAATGAAGTTTGGGAACTACAATTTCTTCAAAAATTGCAGATCCTACAGTTTATTTTGACGATTTTTGCTATCTGAAACCTAAAGTGTCATGATTTCAGTAATGATCTATTCATTTTGAAATTCATTTTATTTTAAAGAAATGGTAAACCGAATCGAGGGATGTAAATTAAGGTAATGTAATTTGATTTTAAATAAAAAAGATGTCTCTAAAAAAAATCACGGCTTTAGGGTTTGCATTTTTGAGGAATTTATGGTTTGGAAATACTTGTATGTACATTCTCATTATCTTTAGAAAGTGTAACTACTTACAATATGTTAAAAATGATGGAGTGTTTTAAAATGTAATATTTTCTTATATAAATATTCACATCTATGATTCATCATGAAAATGATACATCTCTAAATATCTTCTGAACAGTTGAAAAGAAAATTATGTATGGAAAATCTTAACTATAATGACATTTAATGTGAAAAAAAATTAACAACCAGTTCAGACCAATATCCTGGTTACATCTTTGCAAATTATCTTATGCCATTTGAAAATTTTGAACCGTTTTGGTACAAATTAACAATTTTTAAAGCCAACATATTTAAATAACAGAATTAATTGAAAGATTATACAAAATATGTTCAAAATATCATCTCCATGTCTCAATACGCTTTTAGTACATTGTTTCACATATCCTCCTCCTCTCAAAGATTCCTGTATTCTTGCTGAATCTGTTAATAGCCTTTTTTAAACTTCAGCATACTTTATGCCAAGAACAGAGGAAAATATTTTAAAATATGATTTTCGTTCAAAATAAAATTTTATTTAAAAAATAACAAATTTTTGTGATATCTGCATTTCTCGAAAGATTTAGATATATTTTTTATTTTTTTTTTCATTACAACATCTTGCATGTAAGTATCAAGCCAAATATTCTTATAATTGGACGAGGAAAGCACTCTTTCACTTTTGATACATTGGAATTACACCCTATATGATAAGTGTTAATATTAATGGTCTATACACCCATATACCAGGACATGATGTCCATATTTCACATAAATAATTTAAAAAATTATTGGCGTCAAAAATGAATGATCGGTGTACAGTATCAGTGCAATAAATGCAACAATGCAAATTTTCCTGGATATTATCAAGGAAATATATTTTTTTTTTTTACCACCACACATAGTTATACAATTAGAACATATAGAATTTGAAATCTACTACAAAACCTTTATTTGACAGAAATATTTTGTCTAATATACAGAAGTGAATAAGTTTCACGGGATAATCAAAGTGTCTCACCTTTTAGCCAGAAATGAGCCCTGAAGAAGCCGAAGAAACTCGATATGCCAACTTTTACAATAACTATAACATCGATTATCACACACAATCAGAGGATGCGCCCAATGGCGGTAGCGCTTACAAAGAAATGCGAGATAATGAGAGTAGAGGGGTAACGACAGACGGGAAGAATCCATTATGCCCTGAAAAAAAGAAAGAGAATAATCACCGCGACAAGGGCTGTCCAACTGGCTTCAAACCATGTACCATGAAACTGTGCCCGCCACCTGGATGTCACCCTTGTGGGGTCTGGTGTGCGGAAATTCAACCGTGTCCTCCCAAACCTAAAAAAGTAAGTGGTCCTTATGAACCTAAACCATGTACTAGACCATGTTGTAAACATTGGAAGCCTAAGGATGGTGAGTGCAAATACGATGGCATCTGCAAAGCACACTGCTTTGAACCTCCTCCACATAGAAAGAAATCTGTATGTTAAATCTGACTGGATCCTTTCTGTTTTAGAAAGTGCAACCGGGAAACTGCTAGACTGACGAGTTGTCTTCATAATACTTTTCGTACATCAAATGAAAAAGAACAAATTAATTTCAAAGCAACAAATTTCTTTAATAATTTGTAATACCAGAAAATAACCCTGTCTTTCATTGATTTCACTATAGCTTCTTAGACATAAGTTATATAACTACATTTTTGCTGCGACTGATAAATGATAAAACTTATAAATTAGTTAATTTAACTGAATCTGATAAAGATTACATTGATTCGTTTTAACACTAAGGGAGCTTTAAAAAATATGTTTTCTACTCATTTAAGAAGCTAATATCAATGGAAGATTTGGATACATTTGGTACAACTTTTTACCTGAACTCTGACCCAGACATTCATTTTTAAGTTATCATTAAATAATTAATATTGCAAAAGTTGCATCATTAATTGACAGAAATCAGTTATGCGGTAAAAAATGTGATTGCTTTCAAACAAATATTTTGGCGAGTTTTAAAACAGATCTAAAATTTAAACCACCAAAGCATTTTTAAACAATTATTTTCAGTACACATGAAGTATATTATTAAATTTTTAATTACACTTAAAATGCAATAATATGGACAGTTTGAATTTTAAAAAAATATATTTACAATAGCAACTTTGACAATCTAAACGATAATAAATTATGATAATTATGATAGTAGTAAGTTAAAGGAGCAAAAAATTAGGTACCTATAGGAGGATTAGATGTGAATTTAAAAATATAATTTGCTAAAAGCAAAAATATAAACAAATTTGAAATATCATGAAAACAATTTAGAAAAATGTAGAAAATAGCATCATGCATATTGAATATTTACAAATATGAAACAGGAATGTGTAGCACGAAATATTCTTAAGAACCTTTTAATTATTTTGGAAACCAACCACCTTTTAAGGAATCATAATAGATCATCCAGCATTAAAAAGAAAATATTCAAATATTAATTTAATATTTTACTGTTGAAGTTAGTTTATCTCTAGTAACGGTGCACCCAGAAAAAACTATGAGGGAGCGAAACTTACCAAGTAAAATATCTACAAAAATAAAATTGCTATATCAAAAAAAAACAAGACACCTATAATAAAAAAAATTATTTTTTGTATTGAATTGAGAATATTGAATATTTTCCACGACTCAAAAATTTGAGGAAGGGCATAGCCCCTTAATTCCTCTAGGTGCACTGGTACCTATAGAAATGTTTAATATCAACTCACAATTACAATTTCCTATTTACTATACCAAGGTGATGTTGTTCTATTTAAAAATCAAAATTTCCCTACACCTATTCGTATATATAAAAGAATTTGTTGAAGCAGTGTTATTAATATCTTATTCGATAAATATAGTTTGTTATGTTACTTTTTATTATGAAAAGACATACTATGTTGTTAGTTACTCGATACTTTGATAATATTTTTTATATTGTTTCTGGAAACATTTTGAATTTATAAACTTGTAGAAATAGTTTACACTATGCAAAGTTAAGTTGAAAACATTAATATCAAATATATAAGTCGGGCATCTAACTAGATTAGCATCTGAAATACTGAAAATCAGATGCCAATATTAGCAGTTATACAGGGTGTTAATGAATACATGTTACAAATTTATAGGGTATGTACGGTATAAAAAGTTAAGTAACTTTTAATAAGAGCTCATCTGGAAACTCACTGATTTGAATGTCTGAATCATTTTCGAATATACCCGATGTTTTTTGTATGTTTTTCTTTCTCTTCAGACTTATATAATCCCACAAAAATAAAATTAGGGTTAAAGTCCAGGGAATGACCATGGTTCCATCTATCACAGAGTATTAGCTCGATCTAGACTGAAAATAATCAAAAAACATTCTTCGTTTATGGGTATTACTAAATTTTAACATTCAGGTAGATACCTACTATACCTAACTAGGAAATGGTGAGTTTCTTATTAAAAGTTAGTCAATTTTTAATCATCTACATACCCTACAAATTGGTAACACATATTAATTAACACCCATTATAATACAAAATTTACACTTACTGCAAAAAATTAATTTAGCATGTAATCAATATTAAGTTTTTATATATGAATTTTTTTTCAATATATAATCATTTTACTTCAAAAGAATTATACATCTTGCTTATATTTTTCTATTTTTTTTAATGACATTTTTCAAGCAATGCTGTTACAAAACAAAAAACAAAATGGTTTCGAATGCATAAGATTTAATGCTTTTAATCTACTTTAAAGTAGTACAAATTTTTGTCCATCTTATTTGTTCACATTTTGAGTAATGAAAACCATATTTTAGAAAAATAAACAGAACATTGAAATGTTGAATACATTTATAATAAAGCTGATGTACAGATGTACAAAAATGCTTTTTTGTTAGTAAATTGATTATACTTTTTGAGTGATTTCTTTTCTTTTTTATAAAAACTGATAATGATTACATGCCATTAATTTTCTTATTGATTTATTAGATTAGACTATGAGAAACGGATATTTTCAATTTCGAATTTTCAGTTAGAAAGTATTTTTCAAAAACTACACTATAAACCTAATAATTTTAGACTTATTAATACAGGATAGGTTAAGAAAAAAGTAATTTGGAACGTAAGTGGTACTATAAATTAATGTTATTTAAATTTAATATAAGCTCTTTCGTGTAATTATTTAAGTGGATTTTTACAATATTATAGTAAGCGCAAGAAATTTTTAAATAATTATAGTTTTAGTTAAGAAAAATATATTTAGTTAAAGATTTATGAGGCTATACCAGTTTAGATGAAAGTTCTACGGAACTATAAAAAATATAAATTGTAACATTTCAACAAACCAAATAAAATGGGAAAAATATAGGTAAACATAATTAAAGCTTCTAAAGTAACAATTAAATTTAGGTTTAACATTTATTTCTGAACAGTAATAATTTTATATTATGTACGTAGTGATCATTAAGTAATTTATTTTGAGCATATATTATGTAACCTTATTATTCAGAAGTCTTACTTACAAGTGCCTATATCACTTCTTTGTCTTTGAAGTTAGAAAATATACTTCATATAATGAATTTTAGCAGTTGTCTTGAATAATTATAATATATTGCGGTTGTAAATAATGTTCCACTGCAAAGGCTTTTTGTAATTTTAAAGTATTTTTGATTAACTATTGATCGTTTCATTACATTTTTTAAGTTTCTTGACATGAAATGTAATTTTATTTATAAGAACTCCTATTTAAATTTTATTTGTAGTCTCTACTTCAGTAATAAAATATAATAATAAATATTGGTCATATTTATAACTCCAGTCCAGGGTTAAATTAAATCATCTAATCCTCCATTTCTTTTTAATATTCAAAACCATTAGTGATTATTTGTATATAACAAAATTTGAACACCTACTATTTACAGATACAATTTAAACAAGATATACATATATCTGACTAAAGTTTAACAAAACAACAAAAAATTTTAATTAAAAATAAACTTCTTTCAATTAATGATGCAGCTTTTACAATTTACTGCTATGTACAACATTTAATCATTTTTATCATATATTAAAAAAGTAAAAAATTATTTGTTTTATTTATTGAAAACTTGTTAATAATTAACATACAGTGTGTTTCACTTAATGTCAGGACACCTTCCTATTTAGGATGGCATTGGCCGATTTCCAAAATTCTTTTTTTTTGTGTGGTAGTACTCAAAAAGGCCTACTTTTTGATATTATATTTTTTGACATGTGATCTTTTCTATGGCCTACTATCATTAACCCTTTCACTGCTCCAGACGTATTTATTCGCTAAAAATTTATAGGGCTCAAACTGCTCCAGACGGATTAATTCGCTTGAATAGTTATTGGATCAGACTGCTCAAACCGTATATATTCGCAACCATGCGCATTAGTGCAATTAGTATGGGGAATTTTTGCGGGCGGATCTAATAGCGATTGTGACAAATATTTTTATGGAAGGAGGTACTGGTAATAATGCCAAGATTGTTCATCTCTCTTTCAGTTTCTATTTAGTACAGCTGTCGATATCCTGTATTTTATTTAAAATAAAATCGTAAAATTTATCGTAAATCATAATTTAACACAACATAATGTAAAACTGTAAAAGTGGTATAACTGCTCCAGACGTATATATTCACACGCGATAAACTTTCGCGCACGACGAGGTAGCTACATTCAGACGTATTGCGCAGCGAAAGGGTTAAGAAAAGACCCTCAAAAATTAAAAAACATATTAGGCATTTTTTAAGAAAGAAATGTTTAGCATTTTCAATTTGATCACTCCTCAAAACCCTAAATACAGTTTCATTATTATAGGGTGTTCACAAAATAGGTTCAAACTTTGAAAAATTTCACTTATTGCAGTGTCCTGTATTAACAGTGAAAAATATTTTCAATATATTTTTTCATAATTTTATTAGCCAAAGGTATATCCATACAGTTTCATTAATTTCACTCATGCAGGGTGCTCACAATAGGACAGCCAAATATATATATTTTTTATTATGCCAGAAATGAGTTTCACAACGAAATAATATTTAAATATGTATTACTATTTTCTATTAGTCCACCATGCACTCTTCAGTTCGTCTCCTCTTATTTTTAATAACTCTCCTCAACTGATATGGTGTTATTTGTCGACATGCTTGTCTAATTATATTACATAAATCTTAATTAAAAAAATTAACGTGTTTTGTAGGATTTTATGTGATCGAATAATCGGACCCTTCTTTTTTTACGTTAATCTAAACGCACAGATTTTTATGAATTTTTTAAACAATGATTTCTGGGATTCAGTACATGCATTTCCTCTTCATGTAAGACAGAACCTCTACATTCAATTATATGGAGTACCTATTCATAATGCGGTAATAGTACGTCATTGGTTGAATGAGTGTTTCCCGAGAGGTCACAACAGTCCGTTAGCTGAGTGGGCGTCAAGAGCTCCAGACTTAACACCTCTTGATTTCTTTTTATGGGGAACTGTGAAAAATATAATGTATAAAACAAGGTCCCAGAACAGAGAAGATTTATGTAATAGACAAACATGTCGCCAAATAACACCACATCAGTTGAGGAGAGTTATTAGAAATAAGATGAGACGAATTAAACAGTGCATACCAAATGATGTGAACTAATAGAAAACAGTAATATTTAAACATTATTTCGTTGTGAATAGAGTTTTTGATTTCTCGGCTTACTTTTTTTCTCAGGACTCGAAAATTCTCGACTAGGAATTCCCGGGAATTCTCGAATTCTCGAGAAATTTAAAGAAGTCATAATTTTGGTATTGCAATGCGAAATAAAAACATGCTAATATACTTAACAATCATCATCAACATTTATTATTTATTCAGTATTTTTATTAATTACTTATGTTTCTACTTCTACTAACAAAACTAAATTAAACTTTGAGTATATTCTTCTTGAAAACCTTTAATTTGTTTTTTTATTAAACACTTTTAATATACTTATGTTTATTTCAATGTTTTTGAATCGTAGCTTCCTTCCAATAATTATTAATAATCATTAATCACGCAGTCTTTTAATTAAACAAATAGTAGATACGGAATTTAACCTAAGAAATCTTTAAAAAATACAAGTTTTAATTTAAAGATACAGAAGCGTTCTTCCTATTCATCAACAACAATCAACATCAACATTAGGTATCTCCTTATAAAATTTCTACACACTCGTATAACTAGGTACATTAAAAAATAAGAATCACATAAGTAGACTAAAGCCTTAAAAGCTTAAAATAAATAAATCATGAACTAGTCGAGAAACCACTTTAACCGCTCAGCTATTTGTTGAGAAAGGACCTGAACGCATGAACGAAACGAACGTGCAGCGGCACGAGAAGGGAGGGCATAGACAAGCACAATTACTTCAAAATTCAAGAACTTAAGACGCATGTGATTTTTAAATTTCTCAATTTCTCAACACTTTTTTCTCATCTCGAGTAAGGCCAGATTTCCCGGGAATTCTCGTTTCGAGAAGTTTCGACCAGAAACCCTAGTTGTGAAACTCATTTCTGGTATAATAAAAAAAATAATTTGCTTGTCCTATTGTGAGCACCCTGTATGAGTGAAATCAATGAAATTGCATGGATATACCTTCCGTTATTAAAATTATGAAAAAATATCTTGAAAATATTTTCCACTGTTAATACAGGACACTCTGCAATACGTGGAATTTTTCGATGTTTGCAGCTATTTTGTAAACACCCTGTAAAAGCTATAATAATGAAATTTTGTATTTAGGGTTTTGAGGTATGATCAAATCGAAAATGATATCCATTTCTTTCTTAAAAAAATGCCTATGTTTTTTAATTTTTGAGGGTCTTTTCTTAATGATAGTAGGCCGTAGAAAAGATTACATCAAAAAATATAATATCCAAAAGTAGACCTTTTTGAGTACTAAAAAAGAGAATTTTGGAAATCGGCCAACGCCATCCTAAATACGGAGGTGTCCCGACTTTAAGTGAAACACACTGTATAACATAAAATTATTTGAAAGTGTTTTTACACGTATTGCATCTGAAAAATTATGATAATATTCTTAATAATATTTCTTTAGATTATTTTAAGGAAAAAAGTTTCTACGAACATTTATTCTAAACAGTCCAGCATTTTAAATACAGTTCATGTTTTTAAAAATTAACCCACTCTACGCAAACATCTTGTGTACCTACTGTTTGACATATCCTCGACAAATTGGTGACAAGTAAACAAACAAATATTCACCAAATATGTTTTATTCGAAACTTGTTTGTTATTATTTTATACGTTCATATGAGTTGCTACATCGAAAGAAATTTTAATATATCTTATTCGAATTATGCCTTTCTAATTAATAAACATATCAAATGTTTTCTGAAAATGTGTCTGTGAATCGATTTTATTGTACTGGAATTACTAGCAACGTAAAAAATATATTTCCAAGTGGCCCCCTCTTTCAAAGTTACAGACCCCTGAAATCCGCCCCTAAGAATAGTCTTTTTTATAGCTCAGAACCCTATTGTACATGAATCACTAAATTTGGTACACAGGGGTTTTATGACGTGGAATTGATAGTGCTACGCTTTTTGGCTTGTAACCCCCATAAGACACTTTTTCGTGGGCCCCCTCATCTTTGGAACCAAAAACATTTTGTCGCATATTTGAATTTCTTAAAAATTATTAGTTCCCTAGAAAACCATTGCAATTAGAAACTTTGTTGTCTCTTGATATTTTTTTCGTAAAACGCAATGTTTTTGAGAAAAATGGCGAATCACGATATGCATTTGATCGCATTTTGACATTTTTCTTGAAAACATTGCATTTTAGGAAAAAGTATCAAGGAACAAAAAAGTTTCTAAATAAATGTTTTCTAGTGGACCAATGTTTATATGAACTTTTTGTCTTAAAAATCACTCGAATGATTCTGTTGAATTTATTGTACATACTTAATTAACACCCTGTATATCACCCGTCATTTGTAACAAAATGTTACACAGGAATTTATTTTAATATATTCAACACAAGTATTTTTATATTTCTTTATGATACCATTCTATGGCCCACCTTGTATTATTGAAGAAGTATGGTATAGTTTCCAAATTTAGTTAAATCATCTCAAAACATTGAAAATAAAATAAATTTAAGAACATAATGAAAAACAAAATAAAAGTGATTGTGAAAAATCTCTTAATGAAAATGTCTCATGTAATAATAATAATAATATAATAATTGTCTAATACAACTTCAGAAAAAAAATTAATAATTAACACTACTACAACTATTTCTTAGAGACCGGGCATAATGAATGCCACATTGTCTAAAGTACTCATGAGTTGTTCAGGAGTACATGAATTTTCTTGTAATTCCGGAATCTGCTGGGTAAGACACAGCAGGGGGCCAAGAGCACATAAGAGCGAATCTAACAGAACAGATAAACTTCCTGATACTGCTATTTGTCCCTAAAAATCAGCAAGTCCTAATAGCCACTATAAAATTCAGTTTCAAATAATACCTCATGTTCCTTTAAACGTTCTCCTATAATAGTTAGACTTTCTCCAAGAAGCTTCAAATGTGCAGCAACATCAATAGGTTTAATTCCAATAACTTTGTATGGGGCTTCTTTTCCTCTTGGACTTGGTGGTGACACATTGACATTTTCATAAGTGTTCCCACTAATTTGAAAAGCTGCTAGTGGACCCTGACCTGGTTTATTTGTTGGTGTCTTTTTGCCCGTCATCTTTGGTGTCATTTTAGTTGCTGGTTTGAAACTTCCACCAAATTGTTCTACATAAGGAAATTAAGTAAATGGCACAAAATAAACCATGAATGGTTTTTTACTAATTAAAAACCCATTTTTAAGTGGTGAAGACATTGTATAAATGTTGGTAAAATATATTTTTGTTACAAATCTTACCTCCACTATATACATGGATATCTATGTCTTACCTTTTTCTTTTCCTTTATGTTTATCTGTCTTCAATATTCTACCATCTTTTATAACCAATTTCTTTTTCGAAGAATTTGTATCAAGTCTTCTAAATCCACCTCCTTCTGCATCATCATAATCACTGTCTGATTCAACAGATTCATCTATACTTGATTCAGTTGTATTTGCAGGCTGTTCATATTCACTGTTATATTCTGAACCACTTTCTTCCATATCGTAATTCTCATAATTATCGTCTTTCATATACATCTACAATAAAGAAACACAAATATTGATAACATTTTTTAAATTTAATCAGTTCTACCTCATCAAACTTTTGTGACTTCCTAGGCGGTGTTTCAAAGGTCTCCAGTTTTCTAGCAACTGCGGAAGGTCCTTTTTTATTAAAAGTCCTGTCTATCTCATCGGGTGATTCAAAATCTACTAATTTTGACGACTTTTTTCTTACTCTACCACTTCTTGAAACTCCAGTTACCTCTAGATCTATAATTATCAAGTGGGTCACTTTATAATGGAATTAATCCTTACTAACTACCACAAAATAAATGATTACTCTTTTTTTCAAATAAAAAAAAAATTAATTAATTAATTAATAAAGACGGGTCCTACAACAATTGTTCAAAACAAAATCCTTCCGCATCGATACACTTTTGACATCTTCTAATCAGGCTATTTATAGAGGAAGTTATTATGGCATGATTTTCCCTGAAGAAATTACAATTTTCCTTTATTTTTTGCCACAATTTGTCTTGTGTTTATCAGCCCAAGAACCCTCGAACTTTTCATAGTAAATTTTAATTTAAAATTTAGTTATACAGTGTTACCTAGACAATTAAATAGATTAGCCTTATGGATCACATTAAAAAGGAAGTGTTAAATTTTTATTGTGCATATAATTTAATTCGAATTGCAAAATTGATTTTAAAAACACAGAATGTTTGGGCTCCTCGTAGCTTGTCCCTAAATCTGTAAAGCGTTTACCATCACAGCAGTGAAAGACAGAATGCTAGTAGTGCTTATTTACTATGTAGTTTGGGCTCTGTGTAGTCTAACCGTAACCAAGTAATAGCTATTTACTGCTTTTTTTTCTTATTAAACGTAATTTATTTATGTGTAAGATAGTAAATGTTTAAATTAGACAATAAAGACAAACTAACATCACTTGCAATGCTATCTATGAAAAATCAATGGTATGAGAAATACTAAACTTTATTGAAAAAGTGATTAAAAAGTTTATTTCGTACAAAATCAGAAGAATGTATGTACCTTCACTATAAAAAATAATGTTGAGCACATTTTCCCTATATTTCAATAGTACTTTAAAAAAACTACCCAATTGTCTTTGATTTCTTTTTCAATACTTGGTATCTAAATTTTTCCGCTCCCCCTGGTATGGAAGTTAAGAGCCGCCACTGCATTTTATTTTATCCATTTTTGTTTCTCTATCAATATATGGAGAAAAGAGGGCAATTTACATGAACGGCCTTCACTTTTTACTGGAAAATTAATTTTTAATGCCTAATTGAAAAGTGTGGCTGGTGTAGGACTTGCGATTTTCAAGAATTAAAAAAACACTGCAATATGGAAATATTTGTTATATGGCATGACTTGACATGAAGCAGAACTGTCATAACGCTAAAACAACTTTCACTAGAGCTGAAGTGGGTTGCACGTAGTCATTATATTAATGGCTTATACAGCTATAAAATGGAACACCTTGTATATTAAAGAACAAAACTAACTTTTTAATATGCTAAACTAAGTAATAAAAATGGTATAAAAAGTCAAATTTCTTTATAATAAGTTTGAATCAATAATTTATTGTCATAAAGAGGACTATTATCCCATATATATGTAAAAGGCAGAAAATTTTAACAATACATTTACAATGGTCTTTATTTAAAAAATTTAAAAATAAATGTACTTAAGGTTAAAAGTTATTTAAACATTTGTATCTATGATTCTGTTAAATCTTCATCTTGTTTCCAACCATCTTCATCACTTAAAAATCGTCGTTTAACTGTGGTATTCATATAAGGTCTCAAGGCCCACTCTGTATCTGCAGAATCGGCAATATCCAGAGTTCCTAATTTTATTTCATACAACCTCAATTGAAAACGTGGTCCAACTTCACTCAGTTCCACCTGTAATTATTATTTATATTAGCAAGTACAGCATTTAATTTATCAAAGTATTTTAAAATGTACATATATTTTTTAAGAACTTACTTGTCTTTCAACGGTTTTATAAGTATGATGTCTAAAACTAATGTAGTCATCATGATTGGCAAAAGTTATAACTCTCTTTGAATCCTCTTTAGGAACAGGGAACAAATACTTTAAAATACTCATAATACGTTCACCCAGTTTGGTTTTAAAATTGTGAAATATAAGATGTGGGTACTGCTCCGACATAGTGCCAATGTCAGGTATGTCATGCCTCATAACAACGTCAGACATATTAAAATATGCCGTTGGTCCATATGGTAAATGACAAATCACCAAACCATCTGGTACTCCTCTATGTTCATGAACAACTATAAAGTCTGTGACATCATTGGCTCTACAAGCATGAATCAACTGCTTCATCTCATAATTACCACGATTCATTCTTTGAGCATTAGGAAAAATTAGACGTAATTCTTTTACGAACATTTTTAATCTAGCACTGGGATCTCGCGATGTCGTTATAACTATTTTGGGGTCTTCTACACCAGCATATCGGTATTCATCATCTTGAGAATTTGCTAAAGCTCCTCCACTTTCACCACCAAACTGAACCGCTGCCTCAGGACCAGCATCTTCCCATGTTATCTTTTTAGCATAGTGAAGAGCTTTATTCTGTAGATCTCCATGTATGGGTACATTCTCCTCTAAACTTCTTTTTATTTTATCTTTCTTTTCTTGTATTGACTTTTGCCTATCCTCGACTGTTTTTCTGTATAAATACTCTCGTCGTAAGCGAGCTTGTCGACGCAACATCTTTTCAAATTTTTTGGAAAAACAAAATTAACAAAATCACATCTAACAGGCACCTTAACCTCATCACGTCAACGTGCTAACACGAACTGTCTAATATGGTAACTTTTTGACAGAAGTAAATAAATAATGTATTTTCATATCCATAGGCATGCAGGTAAGTAACAATAAACATTTTATATATTATAAAGGTTTACAAAAGCAGATTAACATGAACTGTATACACTATTTATTTTTTTTTACAAAAACAAATTCAATATTCAGTTCACAACTTACCTTCATTTTTCTGTTTCTTGGACTGGAAGTTTTCCATAGCTAAAATATTAATTTTAATGTCTTAATATACACCCAAACAATAAAGAAAAAATAAATTAACTCAACAAAAATATCGAAGTTATAATAATATGTTAAATTTGCAACATAACAATATTTTGACAAACTTTTTGTTTTATTTTTAACCACCAAATTTTTTTTATTGAGCTGCTTTCGAGTGCAAAATGTCAAACTCCTAATCCTGAGCCTGGATCCACATGCGTGCTGATCACGGATATCCGTATCCGTGATACGTATATGCGAAATTTGGTCCATCCAGATGCGCCATTATTCCATGGCCAGAAATTGGCCTCAATGATTTGGGATCGAGGGGGATTATCCCTCTTTATCCTGCCTCATCTCGTGTAGGCCTGGACAGCCTTCGTAGGTGGGCCACATCCGTCGTCTACCCCGACCGGAAATGCGGCCGGTGTAGGCGCTTTATGGGACCTCCTTTTGTCCTGGCTGGGCCCCGCCGGCTAGGGCCCTTTCTTCCATCCAGATGCATTGTCCGTATGTATCTCTGTCATTCTACTTCAACGATCTCGCTACAAAGTTGAAATTAACTAACTTTCATCCGTTTTGAGTAGTATATTATATTAAAATCTATGGTTTTGACCTTATCTCAGCCAAAGTATAGAAAACAGTAAATTCATTGCCTATCTAACCTATTTATTAAAAAATGGACCCTAGTTTCATTTTTCATGTCGCTTTAAATGACTGCGCAAAGACCACGCGCAAGTAGGGGAACTTCAAAAGCTGAAAGCTAAGTCTCGCTTGTTGGTGGACTAGGAGCTGGGCTTGCTATTGCGCATAGATCACGCGTCCCTTTACTGGACTTTTAGAACAGTGGGGTTGTGGTCCACAAAAGAGGGGAAGTAAATTTACTGTTTTCTATACTCAGCATGGAACCACATGCACAAGTTTCTAAACAGATAACCACATGTGTGTGCGTGATCACTGATCACAGACCCGTTGTAATCGCGTGACCATCGTGCATCAGTAAGGGTGCCATCCCATGCGTTGCGGAAAATACGCAATAGATTTGAAATATGTGGCGCGCGTTCCGTTTCACAGTGTTTTCTGCGATATATTTTATTATAAATTTAGATAAATATAATTTTGTCTTTCATAGTTTTAAAAATATTGTTTTTTAACTAATTCTAATTGTTTTCTAGAAATATGTGGGAAAAATTGCTCGATTTGTTACTAAAGTGAGGTTAGAGTACTGTTATTGCGTTAAAAAAAAGTGCTCCATGAGACTGGACTCACGCAATCAAGACGTTAATTTATAAAAACTTATTTAAGTAAATAATATTACAAATAAAAATGAAATTGGATATATATTTAATTTTAATTAGGTGTAGAAGATTCTTCAGAAGTGCTCATACACCTGGTCAAGCAAAAAGTGAAAGAGAAAACATTAAAAAAAAAGTGCATTTATACTTATTGTTAAAAAAAACATTTTAATCAAACCAAACTTAATTGCGTTTTCAAACCTTATTTATACAATTTTTCTTTGCACATGAAATCTGTACAATAAAAACCATACTTAAAGCGACTCGACACTGCGTCAAGATCA